TACATGATGTTGCCCCTTTAAATAATTTAGATTTTGGGGGATTTTGATGGAGCTTGTGTGTGAGGTTGAGCGACACCAACTACTGTAGATAGTTGGGCTCCCTTCACACACAGCCTGGACTCTGGTAACTAACTGCTGTAGAGGAGCTGGACTCACTCCTTCTCTGGAGTTACCCAGGCAGAGAGGTGGGTGTGGGGATACTTGAAGCAAATATCGAAGAGGCACCAATAGACATTGGTTAATGCTCTACAGCAGACCATTTAACTTTAATTTTATGCCATTTTCTAGAGTAGACCTTGGTGTTCAGTAATGTTTGTTGCAGCACAATCAAAGAAAATACAACACAATATACAATTATATACAAAAGACAGATGTAAATTTGCTTCTGAATGTGTAACAATCAAAATAAATCCTAATAAATGTGATGGTGTGTCTGAAGCTGCATGGAAAGCTTTTTATTGGGCGTTATTAAAAGATATAATTACTCTGTAAATTGCGAGCTAATACAAGATAAATGGGTTTGTGCAGGAAGAGGTGCCCCCAAGTCGCAGTAATCTGTCCTACTTAATGTTACAACATCTTCCAGGTGGTGTTAAGCCTATTTACACCCAGGAATAAATTAACAAGCTTTCAAAAACATCACTTTCAAACAGTCACTTCCAAACCTGCTGAAATATGTCACCGTTCCCCACAGGAGGTGTGTTTTACTAACAGTCAGAGAGGTTCCAGCTTGTTTTTTGACAGTAAATTCATTGTGAGGACACACAACAGGTTTATGAAGGTTGTTACAGGGTAATCCTGGCTTTGGTTCTGGTCTTTTTATTAATTAATTTTTTAGTTTTTGTTGTTTCATTTACATACAGTTATATTTGTTTTCCTTTTGATTGGCCTCCCTTATATTGCTCTGTTTCCTTTCTTTGTGCCCCCCACCCCACCCTTTCTTTCTTTTATTTTTTTCTTTAACTTATTTTTTCTTTTCCTCCCCTCACTGTGTTGGACTGGCTGCCTTCCTGCTTGCCAGGCAGCAGGCAAACATTTTCTCTGGATCTGCCACTCTCACTTAGCATCCATCTGCTTTTCCTTTTTTTTCTTCTTCTTCCCAGAGAGGTGATTGGCAGCGGGGGCAAGCATTAGCATTTTCTCATCTTGGCAAAGAGATGCTAACAGGCAGGAGTAGTGGCAATGAATGTGTCTTGAATACTGAGCAAAAACCAAACTTTCTCACAGCGGTGCACAAAAGGCAAGTGCATCAAGAAAACCGCCACCTTGGTTTTAACAACACCTGTTCTGAACAAACTAAATTATTTTTAAGTTGATCAAATTAAATAACAAAATCTTTGTTTTATATCACACTCTGCCAAAGACAAAGGTGGGCAAAATCGTTTTCGCCCATGTCTGGTTGTGTCTGTCTTCATGTTTGTTATGAAAACATGTCACCAGTCACAGCTGATCATGTTTTCAAGCCAACCAGATTAAAGATGGCTTCTACGGCTATGGCTTGTCTGGCCCAGTTCTGGCTCATACCTGAGCAGTAACACTCGGCCATACCACAATAAGATAACGGCCCTTTGATGGCCCAGATGCAGTTTGCCAGAGGTGGTCCGTGCATGAGCCCCACATAAACCAAACAACAACTCGTTGTGGTACTGACAGATTTGTGCCACATTTACCAATTGGGCCAGTTATGCAATGCCATCATGGCCAGACCTGGCCCACATCCAGTTGACAAATCACTTATCATGCTATGTTGTAATCAAGCCAGCAGTGCCAGCTTAATACCAGATCTGGCCCGCACCTAATTTTAAAAACACAAAAATGTCTGTAGTTCAGTCAAATCTAGGTGTTGACATAATGTTTACTGTAGCTGAGACTGGTCTCAAAATCTTAAACTGAACACAAATTGTGCAAGATCTTATTTTACTTTTGGAGTCAATCAGTTCAAGATGGCCTTTATGGCCACCTGACTTTAGAAAACACAAAGTGGCTATGATTCAGTCAGTTTTACAGTTATTATGTTAACATGTGAGAGTGGTTGTAGCTGAGAGTTGTTCACAACACTGACTCTCAATCAATCACTCAATCAATCAATCAATCAATCAATCAATCAATCAATCAATCAATCAATCAATCAATCAATCAATCAA